TAATCATCCCACAGATGTAATATTATCTACAGCTACTCTTAGTACCATTGATGTTAAGTTAGACTCTTTTTCGTCAATAATTACTTCCTCCAAACCATCAACGTGTCTTTTAGACCCCATTCCTACAAGACTGACCAAAAAAGTCCCGGGACTTTTGAACCAAAACAGGTTGGAAAATCCCCTGAAATCAACAGCAATTGAGAATGAATTGCTTTCTTTTCTTCTGCGTTATTATGATGTGTAATTACTATAATGGATTGCATTATAGTCTCAAAACCTCAAAGCGCTGTTCAATTCCACTATTCATTCACTCTCACATTCACACACTGGTGGAGACAAGCTAGCCACAGCAGCCACAGCTGCCCTGGGGCAGACTGACTAGTCATAAGAGAGTCTTTTATGCTGCCCCCATGTAATTGTTTTATATTTATACTGGTAAAATGTGAAGGATTATTCATGCCATTGTACTGTCAGGGAAAAAATTAAAGGCATACCCTAAACTCTTGACCCTCTACAGAGAGACGTTGTTGCACTTTGCTACCATGTTAGGGTCCACATGTGAAAGGCAAAAGAGTCGCAAAATGATTACAAATATGGTTCCAAACCAACTTCCTTCCAAGCAAAGACTAGAAAAGCATATCTTCCCTTTGGCTTCACCTGCACAAGTGCCTAGGTAGGTCTCCCCTGCAGCATTAGTTTTCGCTGTCGGAAGCAGGTGCTGGGCTCTCGAAATCACAGACAAACTGTATCCCACATTCTTGATTTTTAGTTCACAAACTCTTCTTGTAATGACTAACTACTCCTGACATTTTGGAGATGTTAGGTCTTTATACAGTAAAGTTACAGTGGGATCTGTGAGTACAAGAAAATAATTATTAGAATATAATGTGTTAAATTTGCTTAGAAAAGAGGGTCCAGCAGTAAATCAGAGGAATAAGGAAAGGATTTGTCTGTGCGTTTTAGTTTGGCTTAGCTATAGGCCTGAGAGTGTGTGTAACTGTGTGCAGGGAAAGGAATTTATGGACACTGGAGGTCTGCCTGTCATAAAAGGAGACGGGAAGCTACAGGTGGGGGTTGCTGATGCTTGTACCTTTAATAATTTAATTAGCTCATAATTATTATAACTTAGAAATAGGTTTGCAGGAGACTCTCCACTTTAAATGTAAATGTAAGACAACAAGAGGCCAATGGCCCAGTGGATGCAGAGTGGGGGTCTCACATACACACACACA